CTGGCGGAAAATGAATGTCTCGTAATCTTTGCTGAGCAATAGAAATAGCTGGTTGTAACCACGAAGATGTATGGTTGTGGCCACGAAGATGTAGGGAATCAGTGAAATCATATTTCGGAAAGATACTATTGCTTGGAAGCAATTATGTAAATCAGTGAAAAAAAATGCAGAAATGTTTAGTATTTATCCCGTTGGCGGACCTATGGAAGTAACCTACATGGGTTTTCAGAAGTAGCAAGTGACTTATACTCACTCAAACATTTCTTAGAATTTTTTTGAATTCAAATCAGCTCTTTAAACAATTTTCTCTGAGTCCAACTTTTACTAAGATTTTGAAGTTAAAGGAGACTGAAAAGCATTTTGATTTTCATGGGGCAAGTGGCTTATGCCATGCTCTTCATTTTGAGGAATTTCGCCCCCTCTACCTCCACCCTAAATTTATTTAATCGTCACTGTGAGCCAATAATCCAGCACTCAATTTTGTTCATGTTATAGCTTTTTTCATACATGGTTCATCTGAATGGTTCTTTCCCCGCCAGAACATGTCTGTATTCTATGAACGTATGAATTAGGCTTTTTCCTACGGTCTATGAATTTAGGCTTTCTTCTACGGTCAGCTGTCGGGAATGGTGGAGCCCATTGCTGCTGTCCTGGGAGCTGCAGCCATCATCCTCATGGAACCGCTCCTGCCCTACGCCCTAGCATTTGCAGCTGGGGCCATGATCTACGTTGTTGTTGACGACATAATTCCCGAAGCGCAACGGAGCGGTAATGGCAAGCTGGCCTCTATCGCCTGCATAATAGGCTTCTTAGTGATGATGTGTATGGATGTCGGGTTGGACGATTCATAAAGCCGGTAAGATTAGGTTTGAGTTTGGACAATGCGGATAGCTTCTCAAATATCACGTAGAAGGGCCGCCTTGCATGGAAATTCTTATGCTAATCTCGTTCTACATGACTTCGATTCCTTCTTCATGATTTATCCGTTATATTATTGTCATGCTTTGTTGTCATAATTGTCGCGCAACATAATACATTCCTCACAGATTTGATCTGTATGAGGCAGTTTGCTTCCCTTATTCATTCTGCAGCTTTTCTATCCATTTTGGTATTATCAAATCACTTTATTATATCATGTATAATTTCACAGATATAAGCTCTTGAGCTTCTGGAAAGCATAATTATTGTATAGCGGTGTATTGTGTATCTGGGTCATCTTGGTATTTCTTTCTATTGAAAGTTTATAGTTCTGTGATATTTTATGACTTTAATTCGATCTAAATGAGTATACGTTCCCTTCGCCTTATATAGCAGAATTCCATTTAACCGCATTCACCTCGATTCCCGTATCAAATCACGGGATAGACTTTGGACTAAACAGTACAGAATTGTGAAAAATGTGCAATTCCAGAGTCAGTGCCATATTTGGTTTGGTTCGAGTACTTTATGAATAAACATTCGATTCGTTGATTGTAAAGGTTTTCTTTTGCGTAATAATCGTTCTGACACTATTTTTTGCATGAATGTGTAAT